ACCCCGCAGCCCCGATCCGTGGCCAAGCCTCCCCTCTGGTTCTCCGCCCCCGCGGTGGCGTTCCCATTCCGGGTCGCGGGTCGCGGTCGCGGTCGCGGTCGCGATGCTACACCGGACGCCACGTCTGGTTGTCGGCGACCTCACGCGGTGCCCCCTTCTCCTCCCCCCCAAGCCCTGGTCTTGGAGTGTATCCTGCTCCCCGGAAGGGCCTTGTCCCCTACCTGCCTCTCCATCGTGTGCGTGCTCCTCTGTGTGTTGCCTTTCCTCGTGGTCAGCACCTGAGCCTTGAGATGTGGCTTCCTTGTGAAATGGGTGTAGAGAATTTGGGGGGGTGGGGGGAAGGGTCATGTCTAAAGGCTGCGTTGCAAGTAGCCTGAGTGCGTTGTACCGTAAAATCAGCGAGATGGATGCGCGTCGCCTTCATGAGCCAATTAGGAGTCTTCATTCCCGCGGGCCCAGAGGGCGGTGTTTCCCAAATCTCTGAGCAAACACATAGAGGAAGTTCTCTCTGTTTATACCTTTTTGAGCCCTTTGCCTGCAGATTTCACAAAGAGCTCTGTGTAGGCTATTGTTACAGTTTGTAATCAATACTTGGCATGAGAATATGGGAATTACTATCAGTATCCGCGTTGGCCTGCTACGTCAGACGGCTAGCTTGCAAGGTCAGACAGCTGAGTGTTCATCTTTTTCTATTCAAACTAAAGCAGTTACTTTACGGCATAAGGGACTGTCTAAACATAGCAGAGGTGACCTACAGAATAAGAGACTGTCTAAGAATAAGAGTAGTTCAAACAGCAGTTTTCCAAAGGAGGGATTACTATGCTTCAGGTGTACATTCTAGATCCTGCTATTGCAGCCCACCGTGCACTGTGCAGTGTCCTCCTGGTCACCCACAGCGAACGTGTGAATTTGTATTCTGTGTCACCGCACACCCGTGCTGTGAGTAGTGAGTATTATCTTCACTTACAGGAGGCTCTAGCGCAGCGGTTCTCAACCTGTGGGTCGCGACCCCTTTGGCGGTCAAACGACCCTTTCACAGGGGTCGCCTAAGACCATCCTGCATATCAGATATTTACATGATGATTCATAACAGTAGCAGCATGACAGTGATGAAGTAGCAACGAAAATAATTTTATGGTTGGGTCACAACATGAGCCTTCCCAGGAATTCGCCATGGAAAGGTGCCCCAGGCCTCAGCTTGAAGAGGCCAAACCGGAGCTGGTTCCATGTCCAGGTCGTCAGTCGCTCTGGGCCAGGAAACGGAACCCAGTTTGTTTCTCTAAAGCGTGTCTCCGCTGCTTCGTGTGTGTAAGTTAACACTTGCTGATGAGTAGAGTAGGCGTGCAGAAATGCTCGATTCAGAGTCTGTGTTCTACATTTTACCGTTCAGATCAGTCGGGGTGATGGAGGCTTTAATGAGGCATCTTAATGTGTTGTTTTCAGTAGTAAGTCTTGGTTTTAGTTGATGGAAATCTGAAACCTCTCTCATGATCGGATGAGAAGATTGATCGTATAGTATCACAAATGTGGGGATTTGGGATCTGTCAGTCCCTGTCCCTGTGGCATTACGATCTTAGACAAGTCAGGTCTCTTTTTCTAAGCCCTCTTTGTCCCAGCTTCCTGTATCATGTTATCTTCAGTAGCTTCTTGTTGCCGTCAAGTAAAGTCCTTACACTTTAATTTGAATTCAAACTCTGCTTGACTCAATACATTATAGAACAGCGGTTCTCAACCTGTGGGTCACGACCCTTTCACAGGGGTCACCTAAGACCATTGGAAAACACATATATAATTACATATTGTTTTTGTGATTAATCACTATGCTTTAATTATGTACAATTTGTAACAATGAAAATACATCCTGCATCTCAGATATTTACATGACAACTCATAACAGTAGCAACATTACAGTTATGAGTAGCCTCGAAAATAATTTTATGGTTGGGTCACAACATGAGGAGCTGTATGAAAGGGGCGCGGCATTAGGAAGGTAGAGAACCACTGTTACAGAACAACTAGAGGTCCGGTTGGGTCCCTCAGCCTGGCCTGCACCCTCTTGCAGTCCGGACCCCTCGCGATGTCAGACTGCTGGTCTTGGCCCGATCCCCAGTGCCGACATTCCCCAAGGGAGATAGTAGTGAAACAACAGGCAGCCAGGCGCCGCAGCTCCCGCTCCCGCTCATCCTGGCCCTGCTGCGCCTTCCACTGCCGCTCAGTAGCTGCTGCCATGGAGGTGGGAGAGGCTCATGCCCTGGCAGCTGCGCTCACCAGCTGTGAGCCCTGCCTTTGGCACCTGTCAGTCAGCTGACCCCCTGGAGGCAGCTCCTGTGTTAAGGCTCTGCCCCCTGGTGGTCAGTGCATGTCATAGCAACCTGTTGTTCAGTCGTTCACCTAGGCTCTTGTATATGTAGATTATAATTCATTTAACTATGAATAATAGCTAGCCCCTACCCTCAAAGAACGTACAGAATGCAGGAAAACCTGATGGCTGCCATTTACTAAGTCCCTCCCATGTGTCAGGCTCAGCTGAGCTCTTTACTACATTATCTTCACTGGTACACATACACATCCTACAGATGAGAAGAAACGAAGCTCAAAGAATTTCAGTTAAGTGCTCAAACCCACAAAGCCGGTGAGTTTTCAAGCTGCAGTTTTAGATCCAAATGCTCCTGGTCTTCTAGTGGGAGGGGCACATCCCACCTAAGTGAGGGTGTCCAGTGTAACCAATGACAGATTCCACTTTAGCCCTCACTTCGCCTTTCCTCACTTTTCTCTATATGGACGAGACAACAGAACATGTTTTTACTTGACCCAGTCACCCCACAATTTTTAAAAGGTTGGAGCATGAGAAGGCAATTACATGTGCAAGCAGAATTTTGATTTAAAGCATTTCTCTGCAGTGTACTGGTTCCTAACGTAGGCCTTAGTGGGAAATCGTACTGGTTCCCTCACATTTATGGAGCTTGTGCTATGAGTCAGACATTATACTGCTGCTGGACATACAGGTACAAACGGGACAGACAGTGTTCCTGCCAGGGAGGTTCCCGTTCAGTGGGGAAGAAATAAACTGATAAAACAATTGAAATATACAAATAAAGTACTTAGAAGCTGTGATAGAGGTTGTGAAACAGTATACCTTGGGAGCAAACAAAAGTGAAACAAGATAATTGAAAGTTACAGTTAAGTGCTATGGTCTGAATGAGGAAAGGAGGTGGAAAAGAGAACCGTGGGAGGGGTTCCTTACTCTACATGCAGCGTTCATGGGGACCCCTCTGAGGAAGCAGCTCGGACTCACTGGGTATGAAAAGGGGCGCGGCCATGAGAAGGGTAGAAAGCTTTCCCGCTTGCTCGGGGGGGAGTGGCTGTGTCTCCTGGGTCAGGAGAATAGGGTCGGGAAGATTATGGAGCAGTTAAAACTCCAGGAACAGCTACTTTGGAAAAGCATTATCCCTGGAGAGACATGGGTAGACGAAACAGTGGTGACTATTTAAGGTAAATGCTGAGGACTGTGGCTGATGTGCTAGTACGCCTTCCCCACTTCCTGGCTAAAGGGACTGTTTCATACCCATTCCCTCAGGCCCCTCTTGTGCATGAGAACAGCTGGTTCCTCAGGGCCTGTGGGTTGCATTCTGCGCTCCGTGGTCCGGCTCCTGGATTTCTGTGAGCTGATCCCGCACCACGTAGCCCGTCTTCGGTTTGTTTACGTGTGTTGTATTGCGAAGTTTTCCCAACTGCCAACCAGACTGCATTACCGTTTTTAAGGAATTGGTAAAGTTCAATATTGCGCCTATAATCATTCTATAAAGACGTGGCTTGAATAAAAGCCAGTACGCTGTGTTAGACTGAGCATGGGTGAGTAAGGTATCGCATGTGCGTGGGTGGACGCGAAGTGTCGGACACAGAGCCGACCACACTGGGCGCTGTGTGTGAGCTTTCCTGGCCGTTGCAGCTATTACGGAATCGTGTTTTACTTTAAAGGAAAAGATTGGCAAAGGGAAGTGTCTTCATTTCCAATTTGACTAAAAGGATAAACTGCCGAGTGATCTCTCTTCTGGTTTTTGTTTTGCTCAGCTGGGAGCCGAGAGTGCAGACAGCATTGGCGCCGTGCTGAACAGCAAGGAGGAGCAGAGGGAGATTGCCGAGACCAGGGAGGCCTGCAGGTCCGGCTAGCGGTTGGTTTTGTTGTTTTACTGGCAGCTTAACATTGTGGAAGGGTTATTGTTTTATAAAATGGTCCTAGGTATGACGTGTGCTCTTCTGAAAGCACCAGAGTAAAGATTTCAGAGCCATTGGTTTGTATTGTTCGTGAATGATAAACTATTTCTTTTCTGGCTGCAGTAACTTCTCATATAGTAGGACGTGGAATGTTACACTAAGGGTCAGCTTATATGCCATAAGTAAATAATTATTTTTAAGTTCCTATAGGAGTAAATAGACTTTACCCTAGAAGTGTTAATCATTTCATAGTTCACAAAGCATTTCAGAATTTTTCAGTTTCTAGTTTTCAATTTGAGCATTAGTTTTGCTAGAGACAGATGAGAATGATACCTAATTTAGAAGTTCCTTCTTGCCTTATATCCCTGTAACAGCTTATTTCTCAGTTGGGTGCTTACCAATCAAGTTTTGTGACTTTTTAGGTGATTTATAAACTGGGTGAATAGATACTGTTTAGTCAGGAAAAACGTGCTTCATTCTGTTTTTATTAAGTTGTTCCGTGCTACTAGATGCATTGATACATCTGTGCATACCTGTGTGTGATGCGTCGGTTTTACTTTCCAGGGCTTCCTACGATACCTCTGCTCCAAATGCCAAACGGAAGTCTCAGGATGAAGGAGAGACCGACGAGGACAAAATGGAAGAATATAAGGCAAGTGGAGACTCGGCAATTTAATGGTCGAGGGAAAATAAGTCCTTCCGATAATAGGTTCTTATTGAGGAAAACAAACTTGACCGAAAACTGAATATGAAAGTGTCTGAAGTCATTGTCATAAGTATAATACATGTGTAAGCATATGTATAATCAGGTAAATGAAGACTTCGTATCACTTTCCTCATTTTAACACAAGAGTGTTTGGATTAAACTGGGTGATGCACAGGAAGCACCTAGCATGCAGCCTGGTAAGCACTGGGCAGTACTGTTCTTCAGGAACAGGAAGGAGGGAAGTAAGTGTATCAGAAACTGGGTATTTGGGTCAGATTTCTAAAGGCTACAACACTTTCTTTTGTGATTTGTGTTCATCGGTGTTAACAATATATGGCAATAGAATTAAAGTATTTTGAAAATCCATGAGCTAGCCAGCAGTGGAGAGCCGTTTCTGAGAGGCCCAAAGGAAAAAATCCAACTTGTAATTTGTAATTGCAATATTAGTTGAAAAGGAAGTATAATGAGAAACCGATCTCCATTTCTTAAAATTAATTGTCCAACTATACTTAATAGAGAAGAGCATGCATTGTTTCAGTCAATTTCTACATAGTTCAATGATACAAGTACTAATCTTATTAATTCTGTCTTAGTTGTATTTTGATATATGCTAGCATGTAGTTTAAATATTTGTGACTGTTTCAGGTCAAATGATATGCAGTTCCCAATATTTGGACAGTTTTGACCTGTAAAGGTAGCTTCATGTGGTTCAATTTAATAGAAATAAAATTGGCCCATTGGTGGTTATTTCTTTTGATTTAAGCTAAATTCTAAAATTTATAGTATTATATTTGAGATTAAATAATTCTAGACAACTTGGTTAACAAAACAGCAGTAATAGACCTTTATTGATGAAAATTTTTATTTTATTATAAAAAGAATGAACTAGTTATACCTAATGATTTTAATGTTCCACTGTAACGATAATGTGAGAAATTTATTATCAGTCGGGAAATAGAACGTGTTGTCTAGTCTTAGTCAAGATACAGCAACATGTGGACCGTTCCTTCTCTGCTTCAATGTCCACTCCCCTCCGTTCCCAGGATGAGCCTGAGATGCAGCAGGAGGAGGAGAACCTGCCGTACGAGGAAGAGATTTACAAAGACTCCAGCACGTTCCTCAAGGTAAGTCGGTGATTCCGGACCTACGACCCTTCACGTCTCAGCTCTGTGCTGCACGGGTTTTAAATACCTATTTGTTTTCACAGTTTTTTTAGATGTTAAGGAATCATTGTTATATAACAAAGGTCACTTAAAATTATTCTGTAGCTACGGAGGAAAAACACTATCATTTTAGTTGTGGTGTTTTAATGTCAATCAACTTACATTTTATATGGCGTCATAATAAAAAAACAAAGTTCAGAATTAGGATATCAGAGTACATGCTATTAATTTAATTTTGATTTTTCTTAGGGAACACAGAGTTTAAATCCCCATAACGACTACTGCCAGCATTTTGTAGACACTGGACACAGACCTCAGAATTTCATCAGGGATGTAGGTATGTCAGACTCGTTGGACTGTGTGATTTATTGAACTTGTGGATTATTTCTCATTAGGGACTAATTCTCACTGGATTTGTCCTGGGATTTGTTTACAAGGCGTAGCCCATTAAAGATCATCATCAGCCTTTCATCTCTACTATTTTGTCTCTTCTTTTATCTAATTATAAAAAATGAAAGAATACTCATTTTTACTAGATTCTTTAGGAGATATTTTTTTTTTCCAAAAGGGGGGAAAACATGAGAGAAAGGCAGTTGTTGCTCCCTTTCTCAAGAAGAGAATGATTAAACTTGATGTTACCAGCAGATTATTTAGCTTAATAAGTGGGAGACATTAAATGGTCGTTGACTTGAACTTGGCTTTGGACATCTGGGTGTTTATCTGCCTACTAGAGGCCCGATGCACGAAAATTCGTGCAAGAGTAGGCCTTCCTTCCCCGGCTGCTGGCACCGGCTTCCCTCCAGCACCCAGGACCCGGGCTGCTTCCCTCCTCTGGCCACCAGCAGGCACCTGGGATCCGGGCTGCTTCCTTCCGGCCACCCACAGGGACCCGGGACCCTTGCTGGCTTCCCTCGGGCCCCATCTTTGTCCGGAAGGACATCTGAAAGGTCTCCCGGTCTAATTAGCATATTACCCTTTTATTATTATGATGGAGGGAGGATCGTTAGATGGGAAATGTGTGCTGTTTCCCTGGGAGGGCTCATCACCTCTGCTCTCTGCATTGGCTGCGAGCGGTGACATGTGCTTGCCGCCCTCAGGTCTGGCGGACAGGTTTGAAGAGTACCCCAAGCTGCGGGAGCTCATCCGCCTGAAGGACGAGCTGATAGCGAAGTCGAACACGCCGCCCATGTAAGCAGTTCCCGCCCCTTGTCCTGCTCAGCTTCCGGGGCCAGACTTTCCCTCTGGCGCCTTTCCGTGGGAATCGCTCAGCACCACATGAGCTAACGTCATTACGATTCCTTCTTTATGGTCAGATATATTCGTTTGCTGCTCAGTGCTGAGTGCACAGTAGGTTCTCATTTCATTTGTTTTCAGTTTTTCAGATAATTTGCTTAAGTTTTTTTTTTTTGAAAATCATTCACATTTATTCTTGAGTTTACTTAAAATGTTTTAAAATAGATTTTCTTCTCAAAAAGTTATTTATTGATGGGGAAAAGAAAGAAAATTAATAGCATCCAGGGCTACTGTGGACATTTTTGGGATATGGTAATTCATTTTAATCTTTGCTAAACAGACTAATGCTTTCCTTAAAAATGTGTATAAGGCCTTTGAAATTGGAGACTGTTTGTTTCACACTTAGTTTACTTTGAACATTTTGTACATTTATTAGTTTGCTGACATGAGTCTATTAATTAGAACAGCTACAAAGAAGTCTGAGTATTGGGGAAAATGCTAGCAGACTTTAGTATTCATCCTATTTAAAAAGACTTTACATTTAAAATATTTTATATGCAAAATACTTTCATACTCTGTGGAAATAACTTTTCAGTAAAGGCTAATGATAAATTATACTAAGTGGCCAGAAAAGACTATTAATATTTTAAAAAGAAAATTTAGAAACTTCTTTAGAGGGAGGAATTTAAAATTTACAGAGAAATAGTTTTTCCAGACTAACTAAACAATTAGAGAAGAGCAGTGTGACCTTCCCTAGGATACTCAGGTGGTGATGGAAAGGGGTTGAGTCTTACAGCTGAGCGTGGATTTTCAGTGTGAAACAAGGGGGCTGCGTGGGAATGGACTGCTTTGTGGTGTGCTTACGTGCATGTCCTGGGGAGGGCGCTGCACGGTGCGCACTGGCGAGAGGCGAGCCCGCAGTGGTTCCCTCGCCACGGCTGTGGGAATGGCGTCTAGAAAACGGGAAACCTCTCCCCACCGCCTGCAAGTGCTCGAAGCCTCTCCTCACTGTGCTTTCCTCACGTAGGTACTTACAGGCGGATATCGAAGCCTTTGACATCAGAGAGCTCACCCCCAAGTTTGATGTGATTCTTCTGGAACCCCCTCTGGAAGAGTATTACAGAGAGACCGGCATCACTGCCAACGAGAAGTGCTGGACTTGGGACGATGTACGGTGAAACGCCGCCTGTGGGGAGCAGTTTGTTCCAGATGCATAAAGGCCGTGAATGTCACTCCTCTTTGCGTGGGGCACACGTGCAGACGTGTAGATGTTGTGGCCGCAGGCCTGAGGGGCATTGACAAGTGTGCCAGCCTTTCGAGGCAGCAGTTGTGCGGGCGGTGAGAACCTGGTTCACCGGAGACCCAGCCGCAGGGTCCTTGTGGGTGAGGCTGGGAGGGTGCGAAATGGCCCGAACGACCGGGAGCTCGTTCTGCATTGGCATTTGGTTAGATGTAAACATCAGGAATAAATATATGTGTCAAGTATAGTGTCTACCCTTTAAGGAGCTGACAGTGTAATGGATAAAAAAGCATGAGTAATTTCAGAATAAAATAATTGTGGTAGTTATATTTTCCTAAATAAAATTAAGCAAACTGATAACTTCCATTAGTTACGAAAGTTATGTGTTTGTTATCAGGAACAAAAACAACAGGTGTTTCCTAAGCGCCACTCTGCACAGGCAGTGCTGTGCTGGAGAGTCAGGTAATAAGACTCGGTACTGAGATGGTAGATTTCATTTGAATTTTGCCCCCAGCTTGGAGGTAACTTAACCTGTTTTTGTCTCAGTTTTTCTGTAAATATTAAAGAGTTGTTCTCAAGCTGCAGCTTATGGAATCCTGTAACTATGGCTTCCTGTGGCCTCTCCACACGCGTCGGTGCCGTTGTACGCGTGCACGTGTGGTTTCTACAGGAAGAAACAGTCGGAGAACGAGAAGGCTGCGGATGGACGTTCCCCTTATGCCCCTAATTAAAACGAGAGCCTCTAGTGGAAGTCCTGACACACCGTGATTGCTCTGGGACGAATGGGAAACAATTCTTTCAGTCCCCATTGTTTCGGTTTCTTTCAGATCATGAAGTTAGAGATCGATGAGATTGCGGCCCCTCGGTCATTTATTTTCCTCTGGTGCGGCTCTGGGGAAGGGCTGGACCTTGGGAGAGTGGTAAGCTGGCGTTTTGTAAAGTATGTCTTTAAGTTCACAAGAGAAAATGTAATACAATGCATTGCCTAAGGCTTTTCAAGATTGATATTTTGTGTTTTGTTTCTTGAATGGCAATAACATATTAAGAAGAAAAAATATTCAGGACAGAATGTATGAAAGGCAGTACCCACCCTTACTTGACTACAGCGGTCACCAACCGGTGGTCCCTGGACCACAGGTGGTCCATGAGGTCCGAAAGGTTGGCGACCGCTGGACTAGGACCAGAAGTGAATAAAAATGGGGTTTATAACGACTGCAGGAAGAGAGCGGCTTTGAGATTTAAAACTCCAGCTCACATCTCAAAAACAAGCTGCCTGGTGTCACTTGCTGCTCATGAGTAGCGAAAAAGTGCTTTTCTGAATTCCGTAACTCCTGATTCCAAACGGAAGTCAGATGGAATGGGGAAGTAGCCCCGCGCCTGGCATGTAGTTTGAATGAACGAACGAGAATGACAGGAGGTTCTCGCACCTCGGCTTATAAGTACCTTGTATTTCATTGTGTTTAGAACTTTCTTCTGTTTGAGTGGGGTATCCTGTCGAATGGCTGTATAATAGAGACCAGGACTCTCCCACATCTCACTAAAGCAGTTCCCGTGACACCTGGGCATTGGGTATTTCAAGCCTCTAGGAAGTTTTTAGTGCTGGCTGGTTATTTTAAGTGTTGTTTATTGCTTTTAATTAAGGACTTTTTAAAATTTCCATTTCTAGTGTTTACGCAAGTGGGGCTACAGAAGATGTGAAGATATTTGTTGGATTAAAACCAATAAAAACAACCCTGGGAAGACGAAGACTTTAGATCCAAAGGCTGTCTTCCAGAGAACAAAGGTATTGCTCTACGATCTAGTCATCTTTATCTTTATGTTCTCGATCATTTTTTTTAAATTTTCATTATTTTCCAAATGACTGCATATTGTTTACTTAATTTTAGTGGAAAGGTCCTTTTCTCAGACTTGTGCAAATGGCACTGAGCATTTATAGGAAGACACCAAGTTAGTGTTTGATTGCAGCATAGCTGCTTACAATATCGTATTAATTCAGGTGTAGAAATGGTGGCTCGAGATTTACATTGTTGCACAGTGGTCACAAGTGCGGCTGCTCGAGTATTAGTGACTGCAGCCTCCGTGGTGTTCGTCACTTCCTGTGACGGTCTGACTTCACAGCTGGAAGTGTGTGCTCCCAGCCCCTCCCCCTATTTCGTCAGTCCCCCACCCTGTCCCTCTGGCAACCTCCAGGTGGTTCTGTGTCTGCATCTGTTTCTGTTTTGTTTTGGTTATTTAGGTTCCACATCTAAATAACATCCTGGCATTTATCTTTCTCTGAGTCATTTCACTTAGTTTCATGCCCTCCGGGCCCGTCCATGCTGCTGCAAATGGCAGGCTTCCTTCTCTTCTCTGGCTGCAGCGTCTTTAGTCAGCTTGCCCTCCAGCAGTACCCTCAGCGGAGCCGTTGGTGGGAGGGTTTCTTCTTTAATCGTTTCCTTGGACTGGAACATTCTTTCAAGGGAACCCAAGCCACCCCTCCATGTTGGTTCGTGGAATCAAGTGGGAGGCTGTCTGTTCCATCCACACCCTGCCATCAGGTGAAAGAGCGAGGGTCTAAGACAGACAGCAGGGAAAAAGGTTTGGTTTGCACATTTCCTGTGTCAAGTATTTGGAGTCTGTCCAGGCTTAAAGCCTCTTCTCCATATTAAAAGGCTTATATCTTGTGTATAGTTTGTTTGATCTTGGATCATAGTAAGCCCAGCATAACATCATCTTATAGTTCAAAGGTCAAGTTTCATGTTTCCATACCTGTTGAAACAGGTTATGGTTAAGTTTTAGAGGGAAAGACTCCATGGTCGTTGGCTCTGATCTAGAATGTGGTGGCTCCAAGTCCAGTCCTCTGGTCTCGCCTCCCTGGCCATCTCCCCACACCCGGGAGCCCAGGTCTTCTTCTGTGTCCCCCAGAGCACCGTGTCCTAATGATCCGGAGGATGGAGGATTGGTCAGGACCTGGGCCGGGGGTGTTGGAGGCTGAGCAGCGTGACGGGGAGGACGTGACGGTCTCTCCTTGCTGCCCAGGAGCACTGCCTCATGGGGATCAAAGGGACCGTGAAGCGCAGCACAGACGGGGACTTCATCCACGCCAACGTCGACATCGACCTGATCATCACGGAGGAGCCCGAGATCGGGAACATAGAGAAGCCCGTGGAGATTTTCCACATCATCGAGCACTTCTGTCTGGGCCGGAGGCGCCTTCACCTGTTTGGAAGAGACAGTACGATTCGGCCAGGTAGGACCTCAGGATGAGAAGAGAGAACTCGGCCATGTGGGGTGCAGGTGTCCGAGCTTCTGCCGGGCTGGGTGCAGTGAGGCCTGCCAGGCTCACCCGGATCCCCCAGCCGCAGCCAGTCCACTCCCCTCCGCGGCCACTCTGGCCCCTTCTGTTTTCTGTTTCCTCACGTCCTTACGTCATTGAATTGTAGATTCCGGGAGGCAGAGCTGTCTGCGCTCCCTTCTCCCCGCACACAGGGCCTTCGGTGACGGCGGAACGAAGACGCGTGAATGCTGGGTAGTCCTGCAGGAAACACCATGCATTTGTGCGATCCGGGTCGGGCTTTCGTAGAGGCTGAAACGCCTGGCTTGTTCCTTACGTGTGTGGTGGTGGCCTCTTTTCAAATCCGTACTAATCACTACAGTGTGCATTCGCTATTTTAAAACAACTAGAAAACAGCTCGCCTCTTAGGGAAACTCGGGCTCAGTCGCAGATGAGACCAGGCCTCCTGCCCGGAAAGGGCACAGTCTCCCTGCTCTTCTCCTCAAATCTGTATGCACTTCGATACGAATGATGTATTTACACGGTGAACAAAGGAGTGTATGGAATGGCTGCTACCTTCTGGGATGTGATCCTGGTCACATGCCTTGCGTTCTTGTGTTTTGTGATGGATCCAATGCCTGAGAATGAGGGTGAGGGCGATGGGCAGGGTCTGTGAGCCTAATTCGTGGAGATCCCCTGCCCTGTGCTGAGGGATCCTGGCCCACAGCACTCAGCAGATTCCCAGTCTCTTCCCAGACATGCGTCAGCTATGAGACCGCCCCTGGGAACCCAGCCCCAAGGCGCGACGCCCGCAGGGCACTCAGTCCTTGTAGCCTCGCTCAGGCGCTTCCCCATGAG